AAATACAGAATGACCGCGGTTTGTCAGGCCGTTCACGGTCGTTGAAACGAAACGGCGGGCGGATTTGAAAGAGTTTACCATTTTTCCCGCGTTATTGTACCGTGTACGACAATATAGTCGCAGCTCACATAATTTTTCTCCGTTTGACCGGTTCTAGTTATTTATCCACCTCTTGTTTTTATTCTATATAGTCTTTTAATATTCTAAAGAAACATAATGGTTTGACCAACTGAATCGATCCCATCAGATCAATCAATTAAAAGATTATGTAGCTTACCAAAAATATTTGCCGAATGTAAAAAAGTGAATGATCCTTTAAAAAAGTAGCTCTGTACGCATTCAATAATATTCCTGGCGCTCAGGTCTCAACGAACATGACATCTAGTTTCAATCAACAACGTGTTTTTTCTAGGTCCCATACGTAGATGGTCTTTGTATCTACCAAGTTGTGTTCCCTATTGTAAGAAAACGAATTTAAATTTGCTTCCTCTAAAATTAGTGTTGCTGTTAGCTGGTATGGTGAAAAGGCCAACTGTGGATTATTAATCTCCTAAAATGCTATGCCAGTGAGTTCAAAACACCCGCACATGTATTTCGTGATTTGCTCTGACAGTATTTCGGTTAGCGTCAAATAATTAAGAATCATCTCACGTTAATCACACAAATTGTTCGACATCATGCATTATAGGATCAAAAAAAGATCAAAACAAACGAAGATTTTAATAAAATAACGATGGTAAATTAGCTGGTATGAGGGTGACGTATGATGAAAATTCATATATTAAGAGATGAAAACGATAGCAGTATATTCACAACTGTTATATGATGCATACTAGTTTGCATGCAAGATCAAATAATACAGGCAATAGTACCACGTATACTCTTCGATTTTCGTAGCAACAAAAATGCGACCACATTTTTCTTTGTTTGTAGTACCTTATATGTGATAACATTTATACTCATCATCTATTGTTTTTTTGTATCGACGATAAAAAAGGATATAATGTTTTGGTCATTCTAATAAACATGCACACTACAGTTGTTAAAAATATCGGCGCTACCTCTGCCAACTGTTCTCCTACTTTTTTGCTTCATGACTGTGATTGAAGATTATAATAATCTCATGGCATCCTTTTAAACCATTCTACACGATCTTGTAGTTTTTGCCTCGATTAGTATTTAATAATACTGTCGGATTTCATCCTTCTCGTCACACCGTTAGTGCCAACAGGTGTACAGGAACCTTCGTTAATCAACCGAACCGATTTGTGGCTGTTATCTCAGAAAGAGCTTACCAGTGACATTCGTTTCATAAACAATAATATAAATTTGTTATTTCATAAACCATTTTGTAATGATTAGAAATATTTGAGTTAATACACGAACTGGTGATCTCAGAAATAACGCAATTTTTACCAAACAGAACTAGATGAGCATAAATGAACGTATTGTATTTGGAATTCGAAATCAGACAGACATCAAGTATCAAAAGGATCATTAGTTCATATAAACACCACATCCACTACAACTCTTCTCGGGTTTTTCACGTACCTGTACGATTGTGTATTGTATGTAGACTCTGTATGATTTAGAATATACTCATTGTTATTATAATAATTAACTGAAATTTGAACGAACTCACCTGGGTCCTGGAATTGTATACACTCACCATGTTGTTTTTGCACTGAAGTCCCTGATATGTTGAATTTGAACCATAGATTTTCCAATACTATCTCCCTCCCACAAAATAATGTAGAGTCCATATGTCCCAATTATATGAAGAATTTGGTGTTCCCAATTCGCTCACACGTTGACCACTATATGTGAGTATTTTGGCATATGAAAGATGACACATATTCCTTTTGCTTCTCACGTTAGAATATACAAGGCCCTTGTTTCAATTATCAGATAATAGTGCACTGATATGTGTAATTAACAAATGTGATTCATCTTGACTTGATTCACCTGCCAGACAATCAAATGAAAAATTTACATTTGCCTCATAATCGCGATGATAATCTCGAACTCCGTGTGAATCTTCTGCCTGTACAAACTTCATATCTGAATAGAATGATTCTCTAACTGCTTCGGGAAAACTTAATAAGATTCAAAAATTTTATTTTTTCGGACACGTAAACGTTCGTACAGTGTGGAATCAAGGATATGTGCGTCACACAATAACAATGAGGTCAGTAGTAGTTTGATTGAGGGCTGTGATACTGTTCGAGTGTCCAAACGGAAACTGATGGTTTAATTAGAAGGCCATTCCTTGAGCCTTCGACCTGGAAGTCTGGTCCAGAAGGAAAAGGAGAAGTGTTAAGAGATGCTGCCCCATTGTAGTTGGTGATCAACGATGTGTTCGTGCGTCATTGGTTTAAATTAAGATTTTTTCCAACTGCCTTAGATGGGTCATCTATATACACCACCCGGGTAAAACACTCGACATTCCTATTTCGTCTTTTTGATTTTCTAAACGATAGGAATGCTGCGAGGAGGCAGTGAGCGAATGTATCACTTTATTCATCATACCACTGACGACAGATTTTGCTTGACATACACTGATTGTAAGAATATCTAACATCTGATACAATAACATCGGAAATATGACTGGAATTTGACTCACTAAGAATATATTTATCACATTCAGTAGTGATATCACTAGCGATAAATCCATTGTGAGGACAATGAACATCTGATGCGACACCATAAGACCTGTCATCCGATTTTAACTGATTTAGAACATTTTCCTCACATTTATTTAAGATTTCACTAGAAATAAATAAATCAATAGGCGAAACCACATCTGATTAAATAGCATCAGAGATTTGATCAGGATTTGGTGCACTTTATAATCTCTTTAAAACCACACGAGTCAGGAGAACAATGCTTATCTGATAAAATGATATCATGAGGCTGTTCAAAGCATGATGTATTTGGAACATTCAACTTAATAGTACTGTAATTACAAACTGCAGCATTACTTGCAGAGTAGTAAACAATAGTATTACACGCTTTCTGTATGTGTCCAATTTTGACACATTTGAAGCGCTTAGCATAACGAGATGCACATGAATGAAATTTGTCACAGAACAAACACTCACGAGACTTTTGGTAATCTGGTCTAAGCTTTTTCAATGAATTGTGATCAAAAATCAAAATTATAGAATCTAAATAGGTATATGGTTCTCTGGTTCGCTGTTAACTAAATAGGTCATCCAATCAACTTTAACAACATTTAAAGTAGAAATTTACTTTAGTGTGTAAGAGACATGTAGTGTGGAAAGAAAAGTGTCAAATTACATACTGTGTGTCAGTGGTGTGAGATTAAATTTCACTCAGTATATATTGTCTCTGATCGGTTGACTCAAATTTGAATAGTCCTTGAAATCATTTGGATTCAAATGTGTTTCAATAAACTTTTTTGATTCGATATAATTTCTTATAGCATATTTCATACTTATTTATTTACTTACTTTCTATCTTCCTTGGACGCCCACTTAGGGCCATATCGTGGCGTAGCTGGATAGTAACTTTGCTAGTCATCTTAGATGGTCGACGGAGATAACAATTATCGACCACTTTGTTGTGACCTGAATTTTTGGGGTTTCAACTTGAGGTTAACTAGACTACATCGGGCAACGTGATCTGTATGTTTATATAAATGAATTGCAGAAGACCTCTGGCCTGTGTAGTTTGTATACGTAGGCATATACAAAAAAAACACGCGTTTCGTCGTACAGTGGATGCGTTAGCTGAATAAAATTGTCACTCGACCTTTGATACTACTTGACGTGGTGGTCGAACTTGCCTACGTAATGAATCAATAGAGCTTTACTAGCCGGAACAATCGTCCCTCAGGGTCCTACCTTGCTAGACAGGTTGGTTGAAGGGTTTTAAGAGTAAAAATAGCAAAACCAAGGTCTTAGAGTGAAGTTTTACTGCTGAATGTATAGAGATGTGACAGTAGTGAGGTTTTTCCTGCAGACAACCAGCATAACAACGATGTTACCTTCTCACAAGAAGTGTTAAGGTTAGAAAACGTTGACTGAAAATTAACACCTCGCCTTATCCCACGGATCTCCATCTCTGGCGGTAAGGTCCCAACAATCACGAAGATAACACGAAAACTACTCACAAAAATGTCGTGTGTGACTGGCCTGGAGCACTTGTTCCTTAGGAACTGTGGTCATGCTCAGGTCACTAAGACCATTTCTAACTCAATGTCCTTTTCAGGTGTCACTGTAGGGACAGCGTTTATACCTCTGACAGCACCCAACTTAAATTTGTCCGCCCTACGTTTGACGAATTCAGTTAGCGAATCTACCAGGTCGAAGACAATGGAAAAAGGTATGGCAGCAAATACTAACGAGGAAAATCCACCAACCTCCCGTGAGAGAATGCTGGTGCTTGTGTGCGTTATGAAGTGCTGGGCGGTAGCTGGGTGTCCAATTATATGAATGCAGTGTGTAAGAGACAGTCTGTTGCAGTAAACGAGTTTAAAAGGGAGCGGTGAACAACTACCTTCCCATGTGTGTAAATATACCCATATTTGTGCCATCGGATGCATGAGATAAAATCTGAGTGCAACCGCTGTTCATGTAACGTATATAAGCTCACAGGACAGATATGCCTGTATGCTTACTGAGGGATAGTCGTATGAAAGTTCGTGTGTTACTTAGTTTGCATGTAGATTATATCAATTTATGGTATGTAAAAACATTGAAAGGTGCTTTACATACTCCTCTTATTACTCACACGCATAAGCCTGCCAATTTGCGGTTTCACGCAAAATCACATTTACACAGTGGGTTTATGAACACTGAAAATACAGTATTTTTCATACTTAACTTATATTTCCTAATTTTCTCATAGTTAGCATCTTGTCTGAAAGAATGACTGATATAAATCTTACTAAAACAAGCAATCATTAGGTTAGAAGTTTTTATATCCCAACTGTAACTACAAACAACCATTCGGAACTACTTTGTGAGATCCATTGTACATTTTCAAATCGCGCATTCTGTAACGTGCAGAGCGGTGTATTCGAAGTCTACGTAAAACGTTCGTAGTTCTACCTATTTGCCTACGACTCATGCTCTCACATTGATGTATCTACTTTAAAACGTTTGAATCAAACACCTTACACTTCATCATCTTATTATCTCTTCAAAGTTTGTCACAAATATGTACTCTGCTCCTGACAATCGCCTTGGTTGTTCAAGCATATGTGATGACCAGTCAGTTTGCCGAGACTATTTGCGAAACGTTTGTAAACGTGGCAAAAAATGCAAGTTCAAACATCCATCTTTGGAAGAATGTGAAAGATTACGGTGAGTCTAGCGTAAGCTTTCAGCCTATGTTCCTTTCGATGATCTAGCCAGTAAGTGCTGCTGTTGTTACCTAGGTTCCTGTTCATGTTTCTAAGTAATTATCATAAAATAAACTAAGAACTCTTTGCTTCATATTTTGCGGTTTGTTATTTACCCACGATCTTACCTTATTACCAAAATTGACAAAAAGATTATGTAAATTGTGTTTATGAACACCTTTTAGTGCAATTTAAAAAGTATCCTCATGAATTGCTCGGGAAGATGGTTTTAAAATCTTAAATGCGATATTAAGGTGGTCATCATATCAGTTCCGTTTTTCTTATTTCAAGTTACACTAGTGCATCCACCATAGTTGTACTTTGATTAAAATGTGTGTCATTACATGGTTGGAAAGCCTCTAGCGTTATTCGGGAATACTTGTAGGTGCTTAAGGTCTAGCCATTCGGATGTTTTACTTATGACTCCAGTTAACTCGTCAATTATCGAGAAGTATGTACTTGACTAGGATGTTTACCATCATTATTATGTTTTACTTTAATGTATTGTGTTATAACTCTTTTTTTCTGTTAAGTTAGTTACAACACGGTTAACGAAACTGATTAATCTAGGCATTGCTTGTGTTAATGGTACTTAGACGTTGTATGACCTCTCAACTTACGTTTCCTTAACCACCTGCTTAATTTGTCAAGTATTCTGGATTTCAGTCGGCTACAACGTAGGACCAGGCATATATGGTCCCAATTAAGACTCGTGAACTGTAAACACGAGAAAATCAGGCTGGATTCAGACCTGGTCATGGTTGTATCGACCACATATTCACCATTCGCCAGGTTCTGAATTCCAGTTATATTCGAAGAACCTGTATCAGTTTATTTCCTACAAGAATCCTCAAATCTTTAAAACGTTGAGTAAATATGACAGGGATTTTTTCGCCAAGTCGAATAATAACAGTGAGATTTAGTGTTTTTTCAAATCAATCGCTAAAGTCCCTCGATTTCAGTTACTTGTCCCTTGATACTCGTAGCTGAGTCAAATTTCTCTTAATTTGATATATGTGCTAAAAATGATTAATGAAGAATCTTCTGGTCTTAAAACATCCATAATGACGAGGATCCGACTAGTTATATTTTTTGATGCTATCCATTTTGTCACCTTGAGATATTTTCTCTCACTGAAATTATGATTGTCCACGTACGTTAATGCTACCATCTCTATTCACACAGCGTTGTTTGTGCTAATACTTACAGTGAATTTCTACCAAATGATACCTTGAGCAATGTTTGTTTGGTGTACCTGTAACACTTAGCTTTATTGTAGATATGCTTCAATCCGTAATAATTCTCATTAACGTCAAGGCGATTTGATGATCAAACACACGTTCTGGTACTTAGCTTTGACTTCAACTTTAGTGAAGTTGTCAATACTCTGGCTTTCGAAGTTAAAATAGTTGGAGCGGGATTTTCATATTATCTCTTGGTTTAGTCGTGTACTGTCTTTATTAATTCACCATTACATCCCTCAAAAACCAGTTTTACTAGGTGGAAGCACTGAGATACTACGTATAGTATACTTATTTGTCTAGCAGTCCTACATTTCACACGACAAAGTGAGTATTACTCAATCTGTCGGGCAAACAAACCAAACCAGCCGATGAAGTTGTAAGTCTACGAAAGATCCTACTTTGCTCCTGTACCTGTTGGAATGTAAGTATTCGTAAACCATTGATCTAGTCTGAGTTTTTTGAAAGCAGTGACCTGGTAGTGATTATCCAATGAATCGAACTGCTTAAGTAAGCATTTCGAAACCCTGATATTTTTATGAACGGACGTTGAATACTTTAAAAGATTTTCGAACTAATCGAACTACCTTTTAATGTCTTAATGCAATTTTCAAAAAACATCTGTTTTTATGACGCAAACTTTGGGTGCTAAAACAAAGCTGCCTGCAAAATGTAGATGTATACTACTCCACAAATTTGTGTCCGTGTCTTCGCATAATGATGTTTACGGAAATTAAGTGATAAGTGCGGACATTCTGAGCTTAAAGTAAAATAATGGGTATGAATGGATCATTCAGATGATGGAAAACCCTTATTTTCAAAAACCATAAATATAACCTTGTACTGTTGAGCTTATTTTTCAATATTTTTTTATTTTGTTTTGATACTGAGAAAGATGATATTTTAGTTATCGATCCTTGGTATTTCTTATTGCAGTCGATTTGACAAAACGTTCTGCCACGACTTCCAAAATTCAACATGTCGCCGACCAAATTGCAAATTTTTACACTACACAAAAGAGGAAGAGGAAATGTTTCGACGCACTGGTTATTTACCCAACGATATACAATGGTCATATCGTCCTGCTTCAAGCACGTTTGATGAAAAAACTCCAATTTGCAAGGTAATAAGTTACAAATAAATAATGCTCCTGCTATTTGACTACTAGTTTTTCAAATCCACTTCAGTCTGGGCACCCGGTCAGTATCCCAGCCCTCACATAAATCGAATGATTTATGTGGCGCATATCTATTTGGTGCATCCTTGTACCAATGTTTGTGTTTAAATAATAAATACTTATTTTAGCATCTAGATCGTTTAATGTCTTCATTTCATGCTACTATCTTTTTGTCCGAGTACTGAATTTCAGTTAGTTTTAAATACTCATCATATGTAATAAAACTTCAATGAACAAGGTGTGAACTGTTAAACACAAGAGATAAAAAGCAGTTTCCCACTTAGATCAAACAAAGCTTGTGGAATCATATCACGCTTACCGAGCCATCCACTTTATAGTTCGTTTTCGGTTAGTGAGAGCAAAACAGCATAAACATCTGACTAATCATACCACCATCCTTTGATGTTTGGTATATTTGAGGCTTATAAACAACTGTAGTTTTCAGAGATAAAATTCCCACTCCATAACACTGGTTGATATGGACCATCATCAGTCTTAACGATACATAAATTCCATTATCTGTCTGTAAATAGTAAATATCTTTGTTGCGCATCTCTTTTTCCCTCTTCATGTTTTATTGATTACGTCTATATCCTTTACTGTCTGGCTTTAATTACTCTTCCTTTGCTGCACTGTATTAGTGCATTACAGAGTATACCAACCCTGTTACGTATAATCCTACCACTTTTCTGCTTCTATCTCAATACCACCTAGAGCTTCACATGATATATACTTCATGATTGATTATACTACAAAACTGGTTGACTAAAGAACAGAATTCACCTGTGTTGGTGAAATATTATATATTATCATATGTAAAAAGGATACGTATGCAAACTATGTACTTTACCCAAACCTCCATTGTGGCGTTTAAATCAACTCTTATAACCTTTTCAAAGACAATACGCCTCTAGATTGCTAGTTTTTTTTCAATTATCTATTGCAATAATTACACAATCATACATAAAAAGCACAATTTATTTTCCTATTTTCTGTACCGTTTTCACATTATTTTGCTTGTGCAGGACTTTTGTAACGGAACCTGCAACCGAGGATCAAACTGTAAATATCGTCATGTCACTACACCTCAGGAAACAGTAAATCCGGGTTTATATAGTCAACCTAACCTACAAAAAACTGGTTTTATGAATACAAATGTATCGTCTACGCATTTTGATCCTTCTTTAATAAATATTTCGAATCCAAGTAACCCATCTCCCTATGGTCAGTCATCCCTTATAAATAGGGCTGTAATCGTATCACCGAACGATTCGATTTTAAATCCCGTGAGCAATGCCTATATTCCCGTGGCGTCTTCTCATTCAATTGTCGGCCTTATCGGCAACACATCTACAGGACAGCCTACTTTGTATACACATTCTTCGCTTGTTTCAATAACAAGTGCACCTCATATTACTCCTTGCTCTTCCGTTATCACAGTTAGTCCTGATCCTACTCAACATCCGAATATACTACATCCTCAAACTGCCTTATCAGCACCTCATGCAACTTATCATATTGTTCCACATGATGCTTCGCCACATCACCATCATCATCTGCTTGCTACAAGCTCAAGTCATTCACATGCTCCTGCTTTATTAACCATCCCTTTATCTCAGTTCACTTGTAATGTGAGTAATAATAGCTTGATTCAATCTCAAGCCGCTATCACTACGCAACATCATGCTGTTGTAACTGGTGTCTTGCCAGCTAATTCATCAATATCAACTGCACCTGCAACATATTTTCCATCATATGGTGTTTTCCACATTAATCAGTCATCATTAGAAACCCGTGACCATCAAAACCAACAACATCAGCAAATAACAACAGAAATACACAAACAAGTTCGTAAAGCTAAACTATCCAGTTCTTTAGCCACTACACCAGTTACTGCCACTACAACATCCACAACTTCAGTTGCCTCGTCCACAACAGCTGTATTAGCTGCAGCTGCTGCTGCTGGCTACATTGCACAACACTTACCAGTTATTGGTCCCACTAATATATCTGAAAGTGGTACAATATCTCAGGATCTGAATAACAATCTTATATTAAATCAATCGAAAGGGGTTAATGTTCATGAATCAGCATTGGCAGCGGCAGCAAATTTACCAACTGTATCAGCGGCGGCAGCTGCAGCAGTAGCTGCTGCGGCTGCATTCGCACGTTCCACTTCTATTACTCAGAATTCTAAGGTAAGGATTGAAATCTATTAATTAATACTTGTCATTCAATATGTACTACTCAAACTCTGTTAATCTTTTTGTTTAAGCTGCGATTTTTCTCATACTTTATTTTATGAAAGTGAATATTATCTTTTTCATCCGTTTGTTCAGTTAAATGCCTACTTTTTGTTTTCTGACTTATATTCAGTTATAGTAAAATTTAGTCTTTTGAACGCTTTAATTAATTGTTTGAAATGTGGATTTTTTCGCTTTCTAAATACCACTTTCTATGCTAGCTAACACAAGTATGGTTTTGATAAGATTATAGGCAATCAAACCAATACATGATCAATCCATAGTAATACTGACTGTTAGATAACTATTCCACTAACTTACTCTAATTCTTTAAAAATAACATTCTTATCAAAACGGGGTTTTGTGGAGATCTCAGTAATTTCAATTGTTGAGATCATGAGTCAATTGAAGTTAAACCACCATAGAAAACCTGGAAGCACTGGACGGCCGTTTCGTCCTATTGTGGGACTCCTCGGCAGTGCGCATCCACGATCCCGCCTCGCGAAATTCGAACCCAGGACCTACTGGTCTCGCGCGCGAGCACTTGACCACTAGACCACTGAGTTGGCCAGTATCTAACGGTGTTAATGTCTAACTTCAACTAATCCACGAAATTGAGCGACACATCCACCATTGTCTTCAGTAAGTTACTATCCCACAACTGACCCAGTTGAACTCCACTGGTCACTGCTTCTCACTAGAACTCCAGGAAATACCTCTTAAATCGTGGATGTGCACTGCTGAGGAGTCCTACAATAAGACAGAATAGCCGTCCAGTGTTTTTAGGTCATCCATGGTGGTCTAGCTTCAATTAACTCATGATCTCAACAATTGAAATAACATTCTTTTCATTCGTTCTTTTTATTTATTTATAACTTGGTTCTTACGTAATTTGCCTTAGTAATCAATAATCTGATTTTCTTTGCACCCGTTATACTAATTGATTATTATTAATTTTATAAATAACATTGAACGTTTATATTAAATTTATTAACCTCAAACTTGTTCAATTTCTACTCTTATTGTTACGTAATCCATCGTAATACTCAACTGATTACCATCATTAAAGATACATTGATAAATTAATCCACCGCTGTATATTTAGTGTCGGTTGTATACTTAATTGTAAAATCTACATACATAAGGAATAATCAGTTAGAAAGAATTATTTCTTCAGTCAATGTGTATTTCTAATGTCTTAGTGTGAATATTTAATATATACATCTATCGTGCAGTTTTTCGCTGCAGTTGACATTATGATATCTTGAATAAGGCTGCATAGAACATTTCACTTCACAAGAATACATGGTAAATTAAAAATACAAGTGTTGGAGAATTTTAGTTATTCAGTGCTCTCAGGTCATTGCCTATATTACCCATGTTATAGTGTCAATCCGAACACATAAATGCGGAAGAGATGTAAACGTCATTATTCAATTGTTAGTATGCAAATTTCTGCAATGTCTTTTTCTCTTCGTGTGGTAGCCTGATTAAATGTTTAAGGCGCCTACATTAATAACGGGATTAAGTTGTACAGTGCAAAATATCATTCTCTTTTAACTTTTATCTTATTGATTTCCTCTTGCATCTTACTGGTATGAATTATGTCCACCTTACATGTCTGTAAACATTTTTAATGTCTATGATGGCTTATGTAGAAGAAAGCTAAGAGTAGCCAAACTAAGATACAGATTCAGTCCTCAAAATCATTGACTGTTGGTTTGAGCCTTTCAGGCAGGTTCAGATTATCTGGTTTCGGTTCGCGTGATTATTGTTACTGGTGGTTAAAAATATGGGTTATATGGCTTAGGTTGGTTCTCAATATCTCAGACTCATTTATTCTTTGTCTTCCCTTAGATCCTAAGTTTCTAAATCACTTTATGAAGACTTGTTCTATTTCACTAATCCATATATTCCGGGACCATATTTTCCATACCTTACTTTTTGTATTACTACTAATAATATTCTGGAGTCTCTTTAAGCTGATATAGTGCGGCAACCTGAATCGATGCACATATGTTAGGTTCAAAATTGTATACGACTAACCAGAAAACACGTATACTTATTATTACATTGTTTACATCTGAGTATTTTTGTTAAGTTTTATGAGCCCTCAACAGTCCACTAAAGTAGTAAACAAAGTAGAATGCAATTTAGTAACCCCTATTCATACACTAGAGATTCAGTTGCTAAGTTGTAGTAGTCGAGTATGTTTGGAATTTATTTTATATGAGTATACATTTCACCCGATGAATCTTAATTTTTTGATAGAAATAAAATGTTAAATTCTTCCACATATACACTTTTACTCCTAAATTACGTTTACACACTTGTAGTGGGATGTTAGATAACAGTATTACGAATTCCTTAAATGTTTATAAAAGCAATCTTGGATAATTAACTAAATAAATAAAATCAGTGAAGTATTTTTGTGAATATTATAGTAATTTCAATGGTTGAGATCATGAGTCAATTGAAGTTAGACTACCATGGAAAACCTGGAAGCACTGCTTGACGGCCGTTTCTTCCTATTGTGGGACTCCTCAGCAGTGCGCATCCACGACCTCACTTCGCGAGATTCGAACCTAGGACCTACTGATCTCGCGCGTGAGCGCTTAACCACTCGTCTAGCCTGAATTCACGCATGATCTCAACCATTGAAATAAATAAAAGATGTAGGTGTGTAGTGTAACTCTATTATTTAAAGATATTAATTGATAAATGAATGATTTGAAGTGTTTAGATTTAGTATTGGCATAGTATCTATCAAGAGGGCTGACGAGATTTTCATGAGATATGGAATATTGATTTTCCCTTACTTAACCGTGTTCAATGATCAAAAATTTAGTTATGAACTTGTCTACTTATACACCATATGTAACAAGCTCCATTGGAACAGTTGAACTAATAAATGCACATAGATGATGCGAATTTACGAAGTCTATCTTTGTTTCAGCTTCTTATGGTTGGATAGTTGTAGAACAGACTATCGTTTAACTGCAGTAACTATTTCTCACAATACCTTTGTTTCACGTTGCATCATGGCTTTTAGGTTTGTCATCCAAAGACGACGCACAATGCTGACTAGTATTGGAGATGGTTGGAAGAAAGTTAGAGGCGGCTAAACCAAAACGTGTCATCAGTTCTTGAAGTCACTAACTTCTGGTCTGAGCCATGTTGTTAGATGCAGACCACTTGGTTGGGGTCCGCGTGACTACAGTAACAAATCGTTGGAGACTCTTGGTGACATGGTTCAGAATCGATCCCAATGGTGTAGGTGTATACATTGTCTATCTTCCCTTAAACTATGAGATTAAAATTATTTCCTATCTTTCTTTCTGTACTATATCCTTACATAGAATCTTTCTTTTATAGATTACACCACTGAGTTAACTGCTTCTATAAATCCGGTGTTCTCCTTGCTTTGCTAATGAGTGAGGTTTGGCAAGTTGAACCGATGCATATATGTGCCTAGTCCTATGTTATGGCTAACTGACATTTTTTAAAGACTGTAGTCTCGAGATTGTTGGCTTCTTGCGAACTGTTATTTTCTTTGATATTAGCTTAACCTGGGTCATGTGTTTGTTGATAAATTTTATCTAATATACATTCATGTTGAGCAAGTTAAAACTTGTAATATTTTTACCTAAAGCATCAATAAATTGGTAGTAACTTTATTTTTGTTGCAATATATATATTAATGTCCTTTTTTCTTTCCCTGTTCGACTCCTTTTCTAGTGTTGCCCTGTGATTCCCAATGCTCAAATAAAATCCAATGAATTGGGTCCTGAATCCAATTTCTTTAGTTCTACTGCTAATATAAATACTAGTAATAGTAATATTACTTGTACTACTAATAATAATAATAATCCAACTTTAATTAATAACGAATCATGTTCTTGTCAAGATTCATCTTGTTTATCGAATATGAAACATGATAATAATATTAATCCTATGATGACGACAACTATAAATACAGTAACTACTACTTGTACTCAAAGTCATTCAACTAGAGAATCCACATATACATCGGATAATAATAATAATAACTCTAAAAAGCCTACATTATCATCGGAATCATCCTCTATAGCATATCCAGGTTCTTCATCATCCGATTATTTAAATCCAACCGATGAAGAACAAGCTAAAACAGCCGCTGCTGTTGCGGCAGCAGCTTGTATAGGTATGTTAATATTTTGTTATGATAAATATGTTTTTTTTTCGACTTTGTTATTATTCCCATTGTTATGTGCCTTTACTGTCGGGTAGTCTTTGGACATACTATACATCACTTGATTCCTTTCAAATCAGAACAAATATTGAAAAATCATACATATATATTTCAACAATCCAATAAACAAAAATACAATAGCGCAAACGTTAAAATATCTATAGAATTTTCATAGGAATCTTCTAGTATCTTGAAAACATACCACTCACGGTGGTTCAATTCGATCATAACTAAAAGAATACAATAGTCGGCGTTCTGTTTTGTTAACAATCATCCTCTTTAAAATCGTTTAATTAAGGATTCTGTTTGTCTATTCTAATGATCAAGATTTTTACTTTATTATTAGCCCTCAAATACCTTAGTACGGCCGAAAGTGGAGAAAGCCAGCTCTCCCTCTCGAAATGCTTTCAAGTGGCCATGTGCATACAACCACTGTCAGGGAAATCCTACTTACTGCCCTCTCACAGCATTACTGTTGTTTACAATATTGAAAGGACGAAAAGCTAATATACGGCGCTTTAAACGGGTTAGTGGATACGGAGGATCCGCCTAGAGGAGTTGGAAAACCCTGATTCCAAACCATTGGTGTACATGGGCTCCAGTACTCTGAAGGAACAAATGGTATATGAACCAATTATTGATCATCGGTTACCATGGGACTGCATGTCCTTACATTGCTCCACTGCCTTGTTGATAAGACCTTTAGGTTCAAGGTTCTGGGTGTGGCCTCCTAAGAAAACCACCTACTTCGGTTCGGGCACCCGAGAAGTATCCTAGGCCTCACACAAATCAAATGATTTATGTTGTGCATATCTATTTAGTGCCTCGCTGTACCAATGTTTATGTGTTTACATAAATAAATAAAAACATATTTGACTCAATCTAAGCATAGATTTTGCAATCGGAGACAACTTGGCAGTTTCAAGATAACGGCACATATGTCAATCACTTTATCAACTATACAAGACATAGTAACTAATTATAATGGGAAAAAAATTGTCATCAGACACTTACAAATCTTTGAATGATTAAGAAAAACACTCCTCTGTGATTGGTGCTAAAATGGTTGTCTATCACTTCAACGGAACTCATGTCGGAGTGATATTTCGTCCTATTGTTTTTTTAGGATTAAAAATTTTTTCTGTGCGAACAGTGTTGAATTTGAGACAAAGTTATCTAAAACTAACTTATAATGTTCACTAAAGATCGAAAAACTATTTTATTTGTAGCTTCCTATTTTGCATTATAAATCATTCACTGAAACTAGCTGTTTCCTCGTTAGATGAACTTGATAACAAATTTCAGTAGTCTCTCAAGTTTTCTCGTATTCTTAAACTTCACTACATTTTGTACATAAAATGTGTACAATACATTCTGAAGATTTTCATATTTCACGATATCACTCAAATATCAAATCAATGTTACTTCAACGTTTAATTGTGCAATCAATTCATTCATTTGATCTCACTTAATATGAAGAACGAGCACGATTTACTCTTCGTGTGTCTGGAAACCCCATTGCTTCTTCCCATGGCCTTGTTGGTGTGGGTGTAGCATTAGTTTCTAAAACAGAACAGTCTCAGTGTGAATTCCAGTAGACAGTCACATGTACATTGTCCGACTAAACGAGACAGTAAGAACTCGACAAGATGGAGACACATACCATTGCTTTATCGTTGTCTCTGCCTACGCTCCCACTGCTAGCAGCTCAGATAAAGTTAAATTTTATAAAAAGCTGTCCAACCTCCCACAAAAAGTTACAAATTCTGAGGGGTTTTAGTACCCAATAGGTCAACTAAACCAAACCGAAAGGCACTTAGACGGATCTTGCGACGTTTTGGCTCAGCGAATAGATAATGGCTATCGTCTGTTGCAACTATCTTCAGATAATCGTCTATTTTTAGCGAAGACCAACTTTAAACATAAGGCAAAACATGATTTGATGTGGCGACCACCACAATTGATTCATAAATGAACTAAAATAGATCACATTGCTATTAGCCATCGTCGGAGGAGCTCGATAGAAGACTGTTCCTTATTCGGGAGCACATATTTAGACTCTGATAATGCTCTTGTTCGAGCACTTATTTGTCTGCCGCAGCCAGAAAACTCCATAGAGTTCAACTTAATAATGAACAAGTTAAGAGTATATTTCTGGAACAACTAAAGAATAAGTCAAATGTGAAAGTAATATCTACTCTAAAGTCCTTTGGTATGATAGCCATACAGCTATATAAATAGAAGTGATATCTACCAAAGGTTATCGAAAAGTCAGTGGGTTCCAGCGACCTTTGCTATACTGACAGATTCTCGGAAACTCATCCGTCTGACTCAGAACACGATAAGGAGAAGAGGCAGCTAAAACGTGGTCTGATAAACAGCCCACGTAATGACCGTGGGTAATGCTGGGTATCGAAAGCAGAAGAGATAAAAAAGGCAGTTGCAATAGGTAACAGAAGCCAACTATTCAAACTTATTAGGGAACATGTGTCACGTATGTCTAACCCACCATTTACCTCGATGGGCGATGTTTCCTGGTTCATTAGTGGGCTGGAAGAAAGTTAAAGGTGGCCAAACCGAGAGATGATATCAGTCCATGAAGTCATTTACAACTGGGCTTAGTCATAGTAATTTTTTATTTTTTTTATTTTTAACACATAGGCATTTGTACAAGGAGGCAACAAATACATATGCGCCACACAAATCTCAATTGATTTGTGTGAGGGCTGTGATACTGCTCGGGTGCCCAAACCGAAGCAGGTGGTTTTCTTAGGGGGCCACACCCCGAGCCTTCGACCTGAACGTCTGACCCACAAGGCAGTGGAGCATCGTAAGGAGATGTAGTCCCATGGTAGCCGGTGACCAACGATTGGTTCATACGCCATTTGTTCCTTCAGGATACTGGAATCCATGTGCACCATTGGTTTGGGATCCGGTTCAAGCGTCGGACATTCGCTTTTCGTCCTCTCATTTTTGTAAACAACACCCCCGCCACGAGAAGGCAGTAAGTAGGACTTCCCTGGCAGAGGCTATATACGCGTGGCCATGTGAGAGCGTTTCGAGAGGGAGAGAGGACTCTCCCCACTTTCGACCGTACCAGGGCATTTGGGGGTGTAGACTACCTGGTTGGGGTCCGCGTGACTATTGTAACTAATGGTTAGGGACTCGAAATCGTTTGCGATGGCGCAAGTGAACCCGTTCTTTGTCTTCCCACATATTATAAGTTCCTCATAACTTTTGTTTTTGTTTCACGAACTTATATTTTTTCTCCAATCGTATTATCAATGATACTATTACAACCTCTATTGTTCAGGGATTTGGCCTGACATTTTCATCTCTTTATGCTATTGGGGTATGGAAACTTGAATTGATGTACATAAAGTACCAGGCAATACGAGTTCTCCCTTTAATGTGATGTGTTTCACTCAAAATGATTAAATCCAAATAAAAGTCAAGGCAAGTGATAGGGATAAAATTAAACCACTGAATATCTATTTATCACGATGTTTGCTTGCCTGCTCGCTTAACTAAATCTAACTTCCAACCACCCTACTAAGAACTTGATATGAACTATTTAAGACAATACTATTATGTTTGACTACCTTCAACTTCTGAAATTGCTTACTACAAACAAACGTTTAAGTCGATCTCAGTTCATCATTCGTAAATGTTGACTGCCATTTTTTTTCATTTTTAGGTGCTATTTTCTCTCAACCAATGGCAGCAGCTGCTGCTGCGGCGGGCGGTAATGGTGGTAATTCTGCTTCGTCTTCAGTTGCTGCTATGTTAGGAAATTTAATTAGTCGTAATCCACAAGATATTATTCAAGCTGTTCAGTCCTCTTCATCTTCATCGATATCATCATGTGCATCTTCACTCTTATCCAATTCATCTAGACACATTTGCTCTGTTAACAGTAAATATACTTCAGCATGTGATGCCGATAGTATTGGATGTCGTTATGCACAACAACCACAGTATTTTGCAGTTGATGAAAGAAATGTATATGATGGTCAAAATGAACAAGGTAATAGTATCAATGTAAATAGCACAACTGATCAGCATAACATCCAATCGAACTCTGTCAATAATTCTTCACTTATTTCGTCATTAGATCGTTGTAAATGTACAAATTCTTTACTGGATAGTTCATATTCTTTTCAAGATGTAATCACTTCAGATACAAATAATTGGTCAAGGTAATTCATTATAAGATATATTCGTTCTTTCTTTTTTTTTAACAATTTGGTGTTAAACTTATTTCCTAAAGTTTGTAAATCATTCAATTAAATATAGCATGAAATCTGTAATATTTGTACATCAGTTTAAGATTAATCGTAGAGAGGTAGAATGAGTAACAATATCGCAGATAGTAGAAAAGATTAGGCATGAAAAACATAATTCAAGGAAAAAATGAACTTCTTGAATTAAAAGTATAAAATAGTTTTAAAACTCAAAATTTGCAGGAAGAAAATAAAGGTGAATCTTTACTAGCCGTATCACCGAACATCTTGAACTATTGATTTTAATCATTGTGACGACCATCTTTAGTAGTTAATTTGCACCTAAATTCAAGGCTTAGTCAAAATGTCAATGACTTGTTGAATAGTTGTCATGTCTTTATCTTGAAGCCCTTAGCTTTCCTGTAAATTACTTTTATACTAACACATATTCCACATTGAGGTCAGTCAGTCAAATACAATGTAAGACCAGGCACCTATATGCATTGGTCCATATTGCCATACCTCATTAGCACAACAACAGGAACACTGGATACATTGATTGGATATAAGGACATATTACGGGAATAAACAATTAGTTCGTAGAAACAATGATATAAAGCAATTTTAATCTCATAGTTTAAGGGAATACAGAAAGTGTATACACCTACAGCATTGTAATCGATTCTGAGTCATGTCATATAGAATCTCCAACCACATTAAGTTAGATAATGGTTGAGCACACTTTTAATGCATTTCTTAACCCCTTAATTCGATAAAGATTCACTACCTTATCAACTGATTTGTCATTGTTACCTAATACTCCTCATATAAAGTGTTAAATCTCTGTTTAAATATTAATGTTGTATAATCTTATAAGTGATCGTGTAAAGTTCTTAAAGTACATGATTTTCGATCCTTCTTTTTTTCTATTTAGACAATCAATTCTAATCACTAGGTCTTATATCGATTCCATATGGCATAAAGTTGAATTTCTTATCTTAATAAGATAAATCTTAATCTCTATCAAAATATTTTAATACATATAAATATATACTGTAAGGTATTAATTAGTAGTAGATTCCACATTATTTTTGTCTATAATAAGAAGAAAAAAAAAGAAAGAAAGAAAAAAAAAAGAAACATTGCAAAAGTTAACACATTTACAATGTGTTTAGTTATAACCAATTTACTAGATCATCTCATTATTCACTTTACTTCATATGATCACTTAAATGAATTTGGATAGTAACAATGTTTTGTTCTATTTTTTTTTTTAAATTCAAATTTGTTTTATGAATATTGTTAAATATAAATCTTTTTTTTTTGGATAACATTCTCTCAAATCACTAAAAGTTAGATACTTGCTTACTGACTTACTTACTTACTTACTTACCTAATTACTTACTTACTTACCTACTTACTTACTTGCTTACTTGCTTACTTACTTACTCACTTACTTGCTTGCTTGCTTGCTTACTTACTTACTTATTTACTTATTCTGTTTCCACTACCTGGTTGGGGACCGCGAGATGATAGCAACCGATGGTTAGAGACCCTTATTGACATGGCTCAATATTGTTTGCATTGGTTCAGGTTCATCCACTCTTTGTGTTCTGCCAAATTTTAATCTTCTGAATTCTTCATGTCCCAAATTTATTTCACTGAATTATACTCCTTGAATAACATCTTCAAACCCTAATCTATCCGATTAGTGCTTATACTCTTACCACCTCTATCACTATGGGATTTGAATCGACAACTGCATCTCTATGCTAATGTGGTATGGCAGCTCGAACTGATGTACATACGTACGAAGTTCCATGTTGTTACTGACTGACTGACTTTTGTTTCCATTCCTGGGGTGGTTTTGGCCACTGACCAGGTTACTCTAACCAATTCCGTTCTGTGCTATTCTTTCTAGTTGTTGTCAATTGTTATTCATTCTTTTGATGTCAGATATTGTTTATTAAGTAAGCGATGATCTAAATGTCAGGTCAAATGGTTATCCATCATACTGGCTTTCCTACGGAATGATGTGAGATCTTACTGTAGCAACATTAAGAAAACGGTTGTTCGTTTGTTCAACTAAACCTTCGTCTAGAACTTTCACTATTATTTATTTATTCATTTAAAAACAAACATTTGTACAAGGAGGCACCAAAAATATATGCGCCACACAAATCATTCGATTTGTGGAAGGCTGGTTTACCACCCAAGTGCCCAAATCAAAGCAGGTGGTTTTTCTTGGAAAGCAACTCCTCGAGCCTTTGACTCGGAGGTGGAGCGACGTAAGGAGATGCAGTCCCATGGTAGCCGGTGACCAACAACTAGTTCATACACTATTTGTTCCTTCAGGATACTGGAGCCCGTGTGCACTATCGGTTTAGATTCAGGGTTTTTTAACCCCCCTAGGTAAACTTTCTGTATCCATCAACCCGGTTAAAGCGCCGTACATTCGCTTTTCCTCCTCGCAATTTCTTAAAAAACCACCCCGATGCGAGAAGGCAGTGAGTAGGACTTGTGTGACAATGGCTGTATACGCGTGATCATGTGAAAGCATTTCTAGAGAAAGAGAGAGATCTGACTCTCATTGTATCGTCAAAAAACATTAAAATGACTATGGTTTAAGTTTGTTCATCATATTCGGCCCCGCATTACTAGACCTCCTTCCTTCATACTCCCCAACCCTGTCGCCTAATAATAATACTTCTAAAAATGGTATAATTGGTTATTATTGTTTAAAAATATATATAAAAATCAATAATTTGCGCAGTGATTACCTTTTTTATAACAATGAGCTCTAGTAGTCATGTTATAAGTAGTCTAGATTTAAGTTCCAACATGTTCACAGCCAGATATAATCCGTCTTGGAAAAAAGTAGTGTACCTGTAGGCATATTGAGCAAAGATTTCGAAAGTGATTTCTTTTCTTAAAGAAACTTTTATACTCATACCGACAAAACTTATCGTTGAGCTAATAAAACAACCCACATTTCTTTAACCCCAGCCTCTATCGTTCATATTTCTTATGATCCTATCTGATAAATAATATAAAACTACTGTTTTTTGTTTTAGTGTAACTACAACAATGGCCTCAGCTGCCAAAGCCGCGGCTGCAGCCGCTGTTGCTGCCACCGCCGCCGTAACTGGTTCAGCTAATTTCTTTCGTTTAACACAATTTAAAAATAAAGTTGATCCACAATTGCATGATTTATTAATGGATAAAGTTACATCATCCATGTCATCTTCACACGAATCGTCATCCAGCATTTATAGCCCCTTACGTTGTATTGATCAGTCTAGAAATTTACGATCAAATTCTGATCATATATCTTCATCTGTTGTAGTGAACGATACAGAACTTAGTGGTTTATCAACTAAAGAGGCTGTGACAATGACTAGTGCAGCTGCTGCTGCTGCAATGGTTGCAGCGGCTGCCACAGTAGCTGCTGAACAACGTCAACTAATTGGGAATAATTTCTTATCTGAAGTAAGTTAGTTTTATGTTAGTTTTCTTCTATTATACATCTCATTTATTTTATTCCTGAATTTTCTCTTAACTATATACATAAAGTACTAACACATCAGGAAGTGCAGTTCCTTAGTAGCCGGAGATCGAAATATATCATTGGTTTATTCAGGAATCTGGAGCCCAGCTGTACTGCTAGTTTAATATCACGGTTTCCTAGGTGAATCCTGTGTATCCACCAATCCAGCTTAAGCTCCTAATGTTCGTTTTTCATCATTTCACCCTTGCAAAGAACAAACTCTCCATGTAAAGTCAACGAATAGAACTTCCCTTGCAAATACACCAAGCTCACAGCCAAATAATAACATTCCGAAAAAAAAACACCACCGTTCTCAGCTATACTAAGGAGTAATATCATTAAATGGAATATAGTCACACAAAAATGAACATCATTTAATGCCATAAGTGATTTGAAGAAACCAGTTTTTTCTGGCCACTTATTTAAACATATAAATATTGGTACAAGGAGGCACCAAAGAGATACGCGCCACATAAATCATTCGATTTGCGTGAGGGCTGAGATACTGCCTGGATGCCTAGACCGAAGTATATGGTTTTCTTAGGGGGCCACACTCGGAGCCTTCAACCTAAAGGTCTGATCCACAAGCAACGTCAGAAGATACAATCTCATGGTAGCCGGTGGCAAACAATAGGTTCATACGTCATTTGTTCATTCAAGATACTGGAGCCCATGTGCATCATTGGTTTGGAAACATGGTTTGCCAACTCCCCTAGATGAACTCTCCGTGTCCACCAACCCGGTTAATGCACTGACCACTCAATGTCCAATGAATTAAGATTCAACTGTTAGTCTTGATTGCTTTCTGTCTGAAAATTTCTTTCTGTCAATATAAGAGGGTTTATGAAGATTGTTGAATGTTATTAAGATCATAAACCGATTTAATCTGTGAAAGTATACAAAACTAGAAAGTTCTAGATAGTTGTTCTGTATTATTTACGAAACTTCTAAATAGTGTGCATCTACCATGAGACCATCAGCTTTTTTGACGAGTGTTTAATCATTAGACCATTGAAATAGTTACCCATCGGAGATTGATTAAAGTTAGATTGAAACTGTTGGGCCAGTGAAATATCACTGAGCTCTAGCCAACTCATCCGGCAGTTGGGTCACTAAATATCGAACAGATCATCGATCTCTGTCAAGAACAATGACAACCAACGCGCATCAGTTAATAGTATGCTATGGACTAGTGCATGCGGTGATAATCTCGCTATCTTCCCTATACTCATTCTTACTAATACATTTTCATAATAACGTCCTTTGTGTTATACGGTCTTCAAAGCAACCATAATACTTTGATACGTCGAAGAGGTAATCCATGTTAAATGCTGACCTCGAGGTATGACTTCGAAGTTCGCTAGTTCGTCACACCATTCCCATCTAACTCGAGTAGACCTCTAATCATTCGACATAGATCATCTACGTTGGTGGTCTACAAAACTATTGGCTGGCGGTTCATTGATTTAAATTTTAAGTGCTCACCATAAGACCTGAATTTTTCGGTTCATTTTTCTTTTCTGTCATATATCGTTGTTTTGTATGTGTTAGTTTTATATTCTTACGCTATCATTTATTATTTCTATTTAATCATATAATATAATAATGAATAGGTTAATCATTCAAGTAAACTGGAGAAGCAAAATACACATCGTACACTTACAGGAAATACTTGTTTATCAAAAAATTCAGAATGTAATTATCATCGTACATGTTCTTCTTCATCATCACATAATGATTTTGCTTCACCATCCTCCTATGAAACTGATAGTCAAATATATTCTTTAACTCATGATGGATCAAATCGATTTACAAAGAAACGTCATAAAACTAAAAGATTGACTACTGTTGACTGTCGTTATTCTGGTTATTCTAGTTTACATCATCATCATCATACCACCGGTTTATCTAGATCTGTTGATGATAATGAAGATGATGATCCTGATGTATACGAAGATGATGATATAGAGTCAACTGCTCTAATGTCACCATCTCCTGAAGTCACTCCTCCGTACAACTTACCAACTAAGTTAAGTAAGAGGGAAGGTTTATTAAGTTTATCATATTCACGTCAAGTTGATGATAGTAGTAGACCGCCTTCTTGTGAGACTAGCCCAGATCCATGGAGATCAACAGTTCGTAAAGTTGTTTTATCTAGAACAACTGGTAAAAGTGATTGTCTTGAAAGTCATTCATCTCAGTCGTTAAGTACTCAACAATTTTTGGAAAATCAATCTTCTGAACATGGTATGGGATCTTGTTATGTAGCTAACAATAATCCACATCCTGAATCATTGAACACTAACCCAACTGGCTCTGGTTTTTATCCGATTCGTCGATCAGTTTCAACAGGTGCTTTACCTATAAAAACATCCTGCAAAATTGTGGTTAAAGTACGTTCAAAATCATTTCCAGCTTTAAGTTCTTCACATTCTCATTCAAAAGATGAAAAACGAGTTGTTTTCACTTCATCCAATTGTAGTCATAGATATAATTCAGCTGAAAATTTTTCTGTTTGCCCAACAATGAGTGGAACATCAACTTCTTTGTGTTATTCAAAAAAAAGTGATAGTGCTATAAATAAATTTCAATCATCCAGATACAGAAATCGAGAATTCGGCAAACGAAAATTTCGTCGAACTGTTCATCGGTACTTTACACAACATCCTAATAATCGTCGTTTCATAATTCAAAGCACACGACCTCTATCAAATGTTTCTCCAACATCTATTCTAAGCGAAGAATATGGTGGACGTGATGAAGGTGATGATCCTGACTATGTCGATCCCGATTATGACGATGAAGATCTCTATGAATTATCCGTCCCGCGAACATCGATTAAACGTTCATCACATGGTATAACAAAATATTCTACGAAAAGAAAACGCTCTCTATACTCTTCTGCTTCTACATCTAATGTCCACCTTGCCCCACCATCGATTAAACAACAATATGCACTTAGGGTTGAAAATGCTCGTTTACGTCGTAAATTAATCGATTTAATGCGACAACGTGGAGATTTAAGAGCTGCGAATGAAATGCTTCTAGAACAGAATGCAAGATTACGTCAATCTAGTAAACGTGTTTCTGCAGTTGCACGTATGGCGGAATCTGCTACAAAAATTATAGAAGCACATAATAAATCTCAACTAGTTCAATCTAATAGTTTTCCATCAAATTCTGGTTCATGTCAATCAACCGTGCCATTTTCAATTGCTCAAGCAGCAGCTGCAGCTGCGGTTGTTGCAGCTGCTGCTCAAAATCAAACAAATGCACCTAATCTAACTGGAGTGTATGTATCTTCTCCAACAGCATCTATTAATCAACAATATTCACCAACTATTAATGGTTTAAGTGGTGGTAGTTCCAATTTACATTCATTATTCCCACAGATCCCAGCAGCCAATACAACTGGTATAGCTATCCCATCAAATCAAGCATTGAATGCAGTACAAATACAAGCTTCTTCTGGAGCATTAGCTACACCACCACAAGCAACTGCATTACTTCATCCACAAACTTTAGATCCTCAACAAACTGATTTATCCAATTACTGTCAACATCAAGTATGTTAGTTTTATTGGGTTTTTTTTAACGACATATACATAGATCAACATGGGTTTTCATGATTTTCTAATGGTTATTTGATATTCTTTTTGCATAATGTCTAGTAGTGTGAAACTATTGATCAATAACTGATTAAATAATGTTTGGAAAACAGCGTCAAATCTTATGAAGACATCACTAGAATCATCTCTAAAGTGATCGATCCAGTAATTTACTGGTTTCTAAATCCGATAACATCATACTGGCTACGTACTTCACTTTAGCTAGTAGTCGTTGCCTTAGTAGGTCGATAGGATTTTTAAACTGTTTAATTACTTCACTGAAGGCCCATTCGCTTAGAAGTAACATCACGTTGATGAGTAGCGGTATGTTGACCATGTTCGTTGCTACTGTTTCTAGTCCCGACTGCTGCTTCTACTTTGACGTGTTTGTTTGGTTTGGCAATGTGTGATGGCTCAACCAAGCTATATTGGCTTGAACAAATTTTTTTTAGAGCTTGTAATGCCAGGCAGCTTGGTTAGATAACGGGGAAATCGATAACAACAATTCAAGGTCGAAGTAGTACTTCTAACTGTAGAGGGATGTGACAGAGGTAAGCTGCCTTCTACAAAGAGCCAGCATCTTCAGTGATCCCGTCTCCTCACAAAATAATGAAGGGATCAAAAAAAGTTAACTGAAAATGTCACACACCACCTTTCCTTATTCCATAAATTTCCGTCTTAGGCGGCAAGACTTTTTAAAGTACAGAGGTAACACGTCAAAAACTTTTCATAAAAAGTCCTTGTGTGACCAGTTCCAAGAAGTTGTCCCTTCGCCTTTGCGGTTACGCTCTCAGGTCACTCAGACCAGCTCCCTCAAGAAGCAACATCTCTTCATGGTATGGAAAATCAGGAAGTAACAATCGTCCTGATAACTCAACTAGTCATATTAAGGTGAATCAACCATACTCCTGAAAATCCTATTATTTTACGATGAAAAAAATAAAATGGATTCGGAGAGCACATTCTAATCACTCAAAATGAATATTATACAATAAGAAGTAATTGGAACATTGTTCATAAATAGTTTGAAATATACACACATATCAGAAAGGGTATTTTGTGGATATCACAGTAATTTTATTAGTTGAGGTCATGAGTCAGTTGAATCTAGACCATCATGGAAAACCTGGAAGTATTGGACGGCCATTTCGTTATATTGTGGGACTTCTCAGCAGTGCGTATCTATGATCCTGCCTCACAGAATTTGAACCCAGGATCTATCGGTTTCGCGCTCAAACGCTTAACCTGTAGACCACTGGGCTGACCGGTATCTAACGGTGTTAATGTCTAACTTCAGTTAATCAACGAAATTGAGCGATACATCCATCTACGCCAAAACGAGTATGATGTTTATTTGTTAATTTATGTACAATTTGTAGTTGATTCAGATCAACACATATCAACAGTGTTATTAGGACATGTAGTGTAACACTTTGATGAAAATAAACTGAAACAAGAATTGCATATATAGGTGTTTATGATATACTTTGTCTTCAATACCTTCATTGGAACCGATTTTGAATTTGTAGAAAAACACGGTCTATTGATACTATAGTTTAATAACACATTTCATTAGTTGATGAGTGTTGAGATCGATTTCAGGTCATCGGAGAAACTGGTGTTGTTTTACTTATATCTTTCTATTGTTATTTAAGACTACAATTGATCAGTCTCTTGTTGGGCATATATACATCCTGTGCGGATTGCCTCGATATTGCCTGAAGTTACATGCTTTTTAAACAAAGATGGATAGTGGTTAGCAGTGGGATGCATGTACATCCAGCTGACGAGTCTTAAATAGGACGAAACGCACTTTCTACTAGATTCCACTGCTGGCCACTATCCATCAATGTTTGATTTGATCTTTCAGTGATTATGGTTTCTAATCCACTTCATTACTGTGACTGAATATAAGAATTCAGAAATGTGATTCTATATTTTCTAATGTAAATCTTTCACCAGTCCATTGACCACCATGGAAAATCTGAAAGCACTGGACAGCCGTTTCGTCCTGTTGTGGAACTCCTCGGCAGTGCGGATTCACGATCCCGCCTCGCGAGGTTCGAACCCAGGATCTATCAGTCTCGTGCGCGAACGCGCTTAAGTTCTAGACCACAATGGTGTATGAATCAATTATTGGTCACTGGCTACCATGGGATTGCATCTCTTAAAGTTGCTCCACTGCCTTGTAGATCAGACCTTTAGGTCGAAGGCTCCGACTGTGGCTCCCTCCTAAGAAAACCACCTGTTTCGGTCTGAACACCCGAGCAGTTTCACAACTCACACACAAATCAAGTGACTTGTGTAGCGTATATATATTTGGTGCCTCATTGTGCCAATATTTATGTGTTCAAATAAATAAATAATTTATTTATTTTAACACGTAGTTATTGGTACAAGAAGGAACCAAATATATATGCACCACACAGATCTCGTTTGATATGTGTGAGGGCTGTGATACTGCCCGGGTGCCCAAACCGAAGCAGGTGGTTTTCTTAGGGAGCCACACCCCGAGCTTTCGACCTGAAGAAATGATCCACAAGGCAATGGAGCATCGTAAGGAGATGCAGTCCCATGGTAGCCGGTGACCAACGATTGGTTCATACGCCATTTGTTCCCGCAGGATACTGGAGTCCATGTGCACCATTGATTTGGGACCCGGTTAAAGCGTCGGACATTCGCTTTTCGTCCTCTCATTTTTGTAAACAACAGTGAAGCCACGAGAAGGCAGTGAGTAGGACTTCCCTGGCAGAGGCTATATACGCGTGGCCTTGTGAGAGCATTTCGAGAGGGAGAGCGAACTCTCCTCACTCTTGGCCATACCAGGTCATTTGGGGGCAAATAAATAATAAAACTGCGCGTATTTTCATTGAGAGAGATTGACATGTTCTGAATTCCAGAAGTTTCGGCTTGTTCTTGAACATGTGTGCTGCGTATGCCTGAACACCGATTACCACGACGCGCCACGCTAACCGGTGTTAGGGATGATTGGAAGACAGTTAGGGGCGGCCAAACCAAAACGTGGCATCACTGCTTGAAGTCACTAACTTCTGGTCTGAGCCATGTTGGTAGATTCAGACTGCCTGGTTGGGGTCCGCGTGATTATCGTAACCAATTGTTAGAGACATGGCTCAGCATCGATCACAATGGCGTCGGTGTATACATTCTGTCTTCCTTTAAACTAAGAGATTAAAATCACTTCAAATCTTTCTTTCTAGAAACGAATTCTTTCTTCCTGTACTATCTCCTTATACACAATCTTTCTTCTATATATTACCACCACTGAATTAATGTATCCGGTGTTCGCCCCCAAATGCCCTGGTACGGCCGAGAGTGGGGGGAGTCCGCTCCCCCTCTCGAAATGCTCTCATATGGCCACGCGTATACAGCCCCTGCCAGGGAAGTCCTACTCACTGCCTTCTCGTGGCGGGGGTGTTGTTTACAAAAATGAGAGGACGAAAAGCGAATGTCCGACGCTTTAACCGGGTCCCAAATCAATGGTGCACATGGGCTCCAGTATCCTGCGGGAACAAATGGCGTATGAACCAATCGTTGGTCACCGGCTACCATGGGACTGCATCTCCTCACGATGCTCCACTGCCTTGTGGATCAGATCTTCAGGTCAAAGGCTCGGGGTGTGGCCCCCTAAGAAAACCACCTGCTTCGGTTTGGGCACCCGGGCAGTATCACAGCCCTCACACATATCAAATGAGATCTGTGTGGCGCATATGTATTTGGTGCCTTCTTGTACCGATATTTATGTGTTAAAATAAAAATAATAATCCGGTGTTCATCTTGTTGTGCTAATGCTTTATGGCAACTTGGACCGATGCATATACGTGCCTAGTCCTACGTTGCAGCTGACTGACTGACATGTGTCACTCTTTATAATCTTATTGAACCCTTAATTTCATTCAATTCATATTATTTTTTTATATTGTAGACTCCTGACGTTCGGCCACAAAATCGCTTACTTGAATTACTAACTGAATACTTATCAACCACACAGACCCTGACATCAAACGTTATTTAATATGCAACTTGAAAATATGTTTTTAATCTTCTTTTAAATCACAACTACTTCATCGTAATTGTTTCAAATTGATCTAATTTGATTGTCTTATTTATGAGCAGTTACACAGTCGAGAACATAATGTTTCTCAATGTATATTTAAATAAAGATTTGAAGTGCAATGTTATTGTCACAATAGACATCTATTAGTGTTTCTCAAATGTATTAAAAAGTAAAATTACAATATCGTAGAAGTTGTGATTGTTAGAGAAGATATTCCAAGTAATATGCTTACTTATGTCGTTTGAGTAATAGTAGTTTCCTGCTACAATTGATTAGAGTGGTATAACCATCTAAACTTTGTAATCTTAAGTTGAGTCTACATCATCCCATAACACACTAGCTTGACCTACACAATCTGGAGTTTAATCTCTTTAGCATCTCTAATGCATTTAAAGGGCAGATGTAATCTTATTCAAGAGAACGTATACTGAAGAGATCACGTTAAGTGATGGAAATCTTAATAGGCTGTGGCCGTGTCTACAAATGAGGTTAAGTTTGTCCGTGTCAAGTCGTCATTAATTTGTGTTATGTAAGCAAGTAAATAAAGGACGTCTCTGGGTACGCGTTTTTAAAAAATATGAAAGCATCTCAGATAAACAACCTACGAGCTAAGCGAATGAAAACGAAATATGAGACTACATTTGAGCTGTAATCACCGGTATATCCCGATCGTTTATCTGTTGTATTGGTCAAAACTTAAAAACTTGGACTAGCGCTTTATATGTTATCTTGGTGAATTGCCAGACTCGGAATAAAATTGAGAACATAAATGTCAAGCACAGGAGTACAACCTCGACTTCACTGAATGTTTGCTTCTTCCTCAGTCATTAAGAACCCGGAGCACGCAAAATGTTCTATTCCAAAAAAGTAAGTGGACTTAGATCATCGCACACATTATCGATGCTATCTGTTAAAAAAGAATCCATTACTTACTAGATATCTCAACTACACGCAGACAATGATTTCTGGTATCTCAGTTAGTCAGCTACAACGTAGAACCAGGCAAATATATGCATCAGTTCAAGTTACCACACCTCATTAACACAACAAGATGAACATCAAGTTCAAATAAGTAGTTACTCTAATGATAGTAATATATAGGAGGAAAGAATGTGTATAAAGATATAATGCAAGAAGAAAGAATTAGTTGGTAGAAAGAAAGATCTAAAGTAGTTTTAATCTCAAAGTTTAGGGGAAAACAGAGTTTAATTGTAGAATTATGGTCTGTGTTCAATATCAGTACTATTATAATAATAGACCTGATCCTTAGATTGTAGATGTGTCATGATGTGAAAACGTTATCTGTAAGATCTTACGTGAAAGTCATGGAACGGGCAGACCGTTAAGCCGGGGGTTTTTGCGCACACCCGATTTCGGGAAGCCGCTATGGTAAACTTTGGAGAAATGGCACTGAAACCCCAAAATTTCCCCAGACTTGGGGAACTTCCCCTGAACGAGCAATCAAAGCTAGATCACAAATTTTCGTCATTCATATCTCCTTTCTAGCCATAGGACTTAGCAATAAGACCGGCAGTAGTCAAGTTATAAAAACCCGTACAATACAGTTATATAACGTATAATCCGCAAGACTAATTCATCGATAGATGGTCGATTCTCACTAACAGGAAGTACGTTATATGCAGGTATATGTGCCTTATGGATATCTGACGAGTGTAAGATATTAAGTGTAAAAATATTTTTGAATACCATATAGTTTACTAATATACAGCCGCAAACAGTTCTATCCATTACAATTATCATGGTTGTCGACTGCATTGACATATTATTATTTCCGGTGTCTGAGAAAGAGGAATTATGAGTAGCGATTGACGTTGACGGCCTGTTCTGCTAACCTTCTGATTATATACAGGAACTGTGTAGAGCACTACTATAAGTGTCATATAAATCAGTCACTTTTTTTTAATAAGTCAAACGATGCGTGTTTGTTTTGAGCATGGTAACTAAATCATGTTGTAATTAGTACTCATTCATGATGTGCCTGTAATAGGGTTAACGAATAAATTTCTGTTAACTTAACCCGAAATCAATGACCAAATTTTAAGAAAAATTTCGTGCATACTGCCGAGTGATATGTAAATAGTGCTTACCAATTGTCATTATTATAGACGAATATGGAATCGCTAACAGCACTATGTACGTTGTAATTGGAACTTCGTCGGACTTCATATAACCAATTGAAGTTTCTGATCCCGTTTATTTGCTTAGAAAATGAAGAGCACTGTTTACAAGTACAACACTTATAGGTACATTCTATTAGCTGCTATTTGATTTACTTATTTCATTTGATACTTATAACTAAGTTATATTGTTTATATCATGACTGGAATTGCATGAAGCTTTGAACGTTCTCATTACGTTTGATGATATGTAATTTATGTCAACTAATTCAAAGAATCATAGTTTTCTAATGAAGCCAATGCCGGTTAACAACTTAGAGAGTTTATGATTTGGAAATTCATGTGTAGAAACAGTTTGCAAGTTGACAGTAACGTAACTGGAAAACGTTAAATTTGTTATGTGATTGCATAGTCTATAAGATCTTATGTCGAAGTCGCATCACCGCCTACATTGACTAATCGGATCGTAACAATTATCAGTGATACTTAGTACTTCTGAGAAACACATTTGTGCTGCGTGTAGAATAATATATTAAACGTGAATACTAATAAGCAACTTCGATAGTTGCAGTAATAAAACAGGTAATGATGAAGCAAACACCTATTCGTTCTCGATTCTCATAAACAGTTACTGGTTAACGTTATTGGCATACCTCCCCATGAAAGTATGAAGACAAAAATAAATACTGTGCAAAAGTTTATTGATTTAAATCATGACAATTTTCAAGACTACTGAAGTAGAAAAATAAGTTTACAGATTTTATTTTTAGTGAAGTCGAAAATAAAACCACAAAGAACTTTTTATCGTAAACGTCTTGTCTAGTTGTTGATAAGTCTTAAGTAATAATTGTAGACTTTTCTCTCGACCCGTTTTGCGAATTGTACACCATATTTCTCAAGAATTTGTTGTCTGTACATTGCTTGGCGTCGTTGAATTCGCATATATTCTTTACTCCATCTCAGTAATGAAATTGGAGTATTGTTTTGGAAGTTGTGCGTATTATCTAACTTCCATCTACTACAATGCTTGAGAATTTGATGAGCTATATAGTTTATATTTCGTTAGTGATTAGGCTTACCTGTAAGAATTCGTTTATTAACATACGCTAGTAGCATATGGCGGCAAGGATATCGAAACGTGACAAATATTCTACAGTTGCACTCACAAGTGCTTATATCCACTACATAATGCTTTCCGCAGTCAACAATAAACAACCAATCGCAATCTTCAATTTCCACATTAACAAAACGCATCTTTTTTAATTCATATAAGACTTTTGATCGTGCAAATGGTGTTAGCATGTTGAGCAACGGAAGTATGCGCTGTGGAGCACCATATTTATAGGACCTTCCGGCTATTGATGTATATTTAATACTTTTCCTAGAAGATGTCATTGTATATACGTTGTTTTCTGGACCTTATCAACAAATTATATAGAAGTGTTGAAGTTTGCTACAGCAGTTGGGATCACAGATCAAGTTACGAAGCAACAACAAAGCCAACGTGTACATTACGAAACAGAGGATGTTAAAATAATGCTTTTGGCAGTTATTTTGAGGTTTTTAATGCAGCAAAAAATGACTTAAATATGAAAAAACTTAATACTCACGCAACGAAACAAACCCACAGCAACTGAAATACGGAATGACCGCCTCTTGTCAGGCCGTGCAAGATCGTTGAAACGAAATGGCGGGCAGCTTGATCATGACTGCGATGCTATGCCATTCCACCTGATTGAAACAATATTCCCTCGTTCACCGTTTTTGACCTTCTCTCTTGATTACCTATTTTCCTAGTTATCAGCTTTGATAGTGTGGTTAGGACCAACACCACTGAACATACACCTACGCCATTTTGATAGATTCTGAGCCATGTCATCCAGAATCTCCAACACCTGGTTACGATAGTCACGCAGACCCCAAACATGTAGTCTGTATCTACCAACATGGCTCAGACCATAAGTTAGTGACTTCAGGGGCTGATGTCACGTTTCGTTTTGTCTGCCCCTAACCTTCTTTCAACCATGTCCAACACAACATTGCACGTCGTGGTAACCGATGTTCATGTATAAGTACCATGTGACCCAGCCATCTCATTCGATGGAGATTTACAACAAGAATAGGGATGTCGATAAGTCTATCATCGATGGAGTATGCATTAGCTCTAATGATGACATGTTGAAACTCAGCACCACCATTACGTCGACGGTAATTGATTCCCTCACTAAACTTGGATCCTCCAGTCCAGGGTCATTAAACGCAACAGTGGTTCCCAAAAACTCTTCAGGCGACTGCACCCACGCCAACAGAAGCTCACGCGTTTCGAATTGAAGGCATTAACTGGTTATACATGAACTCCGCGAGTCTGCCAAATAAATTGGATGACCTACGTGAACTTGGCAATGCTAATAAGGTTCATCTGATAGGAATATCTGAAACTTGAACATCTCAGTTTTCGGACCAGGAGCTAGCAATACTTGTGATGTCTCTGTTTCGCAACGACAGAAAAACAGGAATTGGTGGTGGAGTAGCCTTATATATAAGATCTGGCTTGTAGGTACACCAATCTCACAATCATGAGTTTAACAATCTTGAGGAATCCATATGGTGCTCTGTAAGATTGTCAACAAAGTAAGGCTGCCCAGTCGGAGTCATATATAGGAAGCCCACTGCCGACATGGAGTATGACAGTCGTACGCTGGAAGGACTATCCCGCTCCACGCGTCACGGTTTCACTCATATCCTGATTCTAGGGGACTTCAATCTCCCTAGAGTCAATGTCGCGGAACATGTGTATATTGGAGGTGAAAACTCAATTGAAGCTCTGATCTTCAACCTCATTGAGGATTTGAGATTATTCGAAAACGTGAAGTCGTCAACTTGTTGGAGGAACACTCAGACACCGTCGCGCTTAGACAGGCTTCAACACCAGTTAAAGCTTATGGATAAATTTATTTCCAATCCGAAAAGCTTATTCCTTTACGCAGCCTCTCTTTATCAAGTTAAAACTGGATTTTCTCAACTGCTAGGTCCTAAGGGCCCGACCGAT